GGCGGGGTCCCGGCAGTGCAGCTCCGCCCCGCAGCCCGAGCAGCTCACCCCGCTGGGCGGCACCGACGGGTCCGGCCGCCCCGTCACCCGGTGCTGCCGCTTCTCCCGCGGCCTCCTCTCCGGGCCGCTCGGGGCGGCGGGCGGCTCCCCGGCCGGCGCCGGGCCCGGCTCGGGCACGTACTCGGGGAAGACGAACTGCTCCTCCTCGCCGCCCGGCTCCTGGGCCGCAGGGCGCTGCGGGGCGGCGGGCGGCTCCCGCCGGGGCCGGGTGGAGAGGCCGCCCGGCCGCAGGGCAGCGGGCAGGAACCGGCCGGGACCCGGGGGCTGCCGGAGCGGCGGGGCCCGGGCCAGGGCCCCCAGCAGCGCGCGGCTCAGTCGGTGCATGAGAGAAGCGAGGCAGCGGCTCCGCTCCCCTGGCCTCGGCCACGCGGAGAGCCCGGCCCGAGACAGCGCCTCCTGCCGGGCGGGCCCGGACCCCACACCGGGCCAAGCAGCGCCAGTGATGCCAGCGCCTTGCGCCTGGCTCGCTGCGTGACCCTGGGCAAATGGCTTAGCCTCTCTTCTCTCCCCCGGCGGTAAATCGGGGCTGGTAAGGCCCAGGGCCTGCCCTCTGTGGGGTGCGGACTGGGCCCGACCCCAGCTGGGGCGGTGGGAAAGCGCTAGGAATCATTGTAATTTATTTATGTGGGATTATTTTTGCAGCCTCAATAATAAAAATAGTGTAGAGTTGTCTCTATTCTTTACTGGACCTAAACAGAATAGAAACCCAAATAAGGTGCTTTACACATTCTTGTCTTTGTTCTTGTTTCTTTTGCTTTTTTAGTTGTTTAAAAAAAAACAACTTGCTGGCTACTCAGTCTGCTGTGAAAATTGATATTAACAAACGTGCAAATATTACTTTTAACAGCAGGCTTACTCAGCCCCAGCAAGCCTGGGGACAAATTAAGTCCTGGATGAGGAGGTCAGTACAGAGGCAGTGGGGGCCAAAGGCGATGGGACATTGGGGGAGGCAGCAGGGGCCAGGGTTGATGGGTGGGTGAGCTTGGGGCCAGAGCCCGTCACTGTGCAGCTGGGGAATGGAGCCCAAATCCCTGTGGCTGGAGCCCGCCCCCCCACCCCCCCCGGGCTGAAGCCCAACCCCACTGCCCCAGGGAAGGTGGGGAACTCACACCTGCTGCCCGCTCCTCCAGCTTTTGTGTCTCCAGAAGGGGGCAGGGCCCAACCACTGCTGGCGGTCCCCGGGGGAGGGTCCACTGCTTTGCGCCCCCCCCCCCCCATCACTGCCCAGGTGTTTGTGGCCACAAGAAAAGCCCCTGATTGCTTCATGTAGCCATGATGGCCGCATTTGAGAAATGCTGGTAAACAGCAGTGCTTCTGAAACTCCCTTTTTATAACTGAGAAACGTTTAAGCGCTTGTGTCTGCATTTCAATGTGTGGTGGCCAGTGGAAACTGGTGTGGGACCAATCACAGTGTTTTAACCCAAGCAACAATAGTGCAAACCTTCTCTCCCCCGCCCCAATCATCTTAAAACCATGCTTTCAATCATAAGCACTATGCAAGGAGGAGGAGGAGGAGGATTGGTTAAAGTGTGGCTCTAAACCTGCAATGAGCATGCCTGGTTCTGGAGCTCACTGCAAAATGATTCAGTCAGGGCCTGTGTTGGTAACTCACTCAATTATAACAAAATACAAACAACTCAGCAAGAAGTGGAGTAAGGGCCCTCTTCGAATGACTGAAGAGTCTTGAAGCCTGAATCAGCAGTGCCTGGTGCAAAAAGCCCTATGTGTGGGTTACCATATTTCAGGTTCCCCTGCACGTGTGTGGGGGTACAAGTTGGAAAACTTGGGGTAGGAGGAGCTGGGGGAGGTACAGCTGGGGTTGCTGGAAGGGGTACATGCAGTGGGGGCAGGGGTGAAAGTAAAATTGAGCTCTTACATCCCCCACCCAGCCCATCTGCACTGCCTAGCCCATGCCCCCCGGGTCTCCAGCGATGATTTAAAGGGCTCGGGGCGGTAGTGGCAGCTGGAGCTGCGGGCCCTTTTAAATTGCAGCCCCAGGGCAGCTACATCTTTTGCTTCCCCCCCCTCGGTTGGCGGCCAGGGGGGGCTGCAAAATGGGCAACGACATTAAAGCGCTGCTGCGGCAGGGTCCTTAAAGCGCTGCCGTGGTAGCGCTTTAAAGTCAGCGGTACGGGCTGGTACTGGTGGCTACTTTTTACTGGTATGCCGTACTGCCTTACTTTCACCCCTTAGTGGGGGTAATCGCTGGAGGTGGGGGGCAGTGTCACTCCCTGTCACGGTGGCAGGGGAGCTGGCACAAGCTCAGGATGCAGTGATGTCCGTCAGGCAGCCCCTCCTTGCAGGACTCCTTCCCTAGGGCTGGGGGCAGGGATCCAGCAGCTGTGGCTGCAGGGGAATAGATCAATCAGCTGCGGATGCAGGGCAGGAACCGATTGGAAGCGGATCAATCAGGGCTCTTTCTGAGGTACAGCATCTGCTCTGCAAGAATCCAAGACATTGCCTGTTATTTGAAAAATCCACCAGGACAGAGAATGGAGGCTCAAAAAAGAGTCTCTGTCCAGGGAAACAAGATGAGTAGCCCCAGAAACCACCGACCTCATACTGCCAGCCTCAAGGATTCAAACATCAAAGGTCTGATTGATTTTAAAATCATGAGATGTTGCTAGCTCTTGGATTGGGTTTAATTGCCTTCTGGTGGCTCAGCCTCCCCTGGTGCTTTCAAGCTTTTCTCCACCAGGCCTGGAAACATTGTTGTAAGGAGGGTAAGAGCAGGGACCCCCGCTTGACACCATGACTCCAAGAGCTGGGGCTTTCTGTAACCCACCCACTACTGCAGGCCTTGCAATACACTTGTGCGAGCTGGCAGCGCCCCTGGCATGATGCTCGGACCCCGAACGAGGGGGGGAGTGGTGTCCTACTGCCACAGCTGGGCACAGCCCTGAATCTCCGCCATGCTCCAGTCCGTGCGTGCGGCACGTTCAACTCTCTGCCCTACCCGCGGCTGGGCCGCGAACACCTCTCTTATGCTCGCCCCTAAGCCCGCCTCAATGCGCACGCGCATTCCGCAGTTCATTCGCGCCTCTCACCTGAGCCGCGCGCAAGCGCGTTCCTCGAGTCTCCGCAGGAAGTGGTCACGAGGCGGCTCAGGCGGACCACAGCGCGAAGTGTGCGCGCAGCCGCAGTGCGAACGGGGGTGGGAGGCCAGCTCATAGCGTGCGCAGCCGAAGGGAGAGCCTGGAGCCGCACGCAGCTGCAGTGCGATAAGGAGGCGGGATCTAAATCGTGCGCAACCGCAGTTCGGCCTAGTGTCATGCGCCTGCGCATTCGCAGCTCCTCCATCGCGGCGACAGGCCGGTGTCGGTAGTTGCAGTGGAGGCCACCCCGCGCTGCCAAGATGTACGACGCGGACGAAGGTGAGCGCGCCACAGCCGCGCCCTGGGGGGCCGGTCCCGTCACCTCAGCCGGGAGCTGGGGCCGGGGGAGGGGAGGCTGTCTCCGCAGCGTGCACCTGGGGGGCGGGCACGAGACCCAGGCCCCCGGGGCCCCTGGCCGGGCCTGGCCGGGCCTGCAAACCCTTGCAGCGCAGCCGTGCCGCGGGGAGGGACCCTGGTCGAGCGAGTCCCTGCGCTTCCCTGCCGGCGAGGCTGTGGGGGCAGAAACGCTTGTGGGGCTGGGGCTGCGACGGGGGGCGGAGGGGTTGCTGGAGGAGCCCCAAGTCCTTCTTAAGTGTCAGTGCTTCTAGCCAGGCGCAAAGAGCACAGGCCTTGCTTACAGGCTGGGGGGCTCCGTCCTGGGAAGCAGCGACCCTGAAAAAGATGGGGGGCATGTGGTGAATAATCAGCTGACCAGGTGCTCCCAGTGCCACGCTGTGGCTAGGAGATACTGCGATCCTGGGATGCATAAACAGGGGGATCTGGAGTAGAGAGGTTATTTCACCCTTATATTTGGCATTGGTGTGATTCCTGCTGGACTGTGTCCACTTCTGGCGCCCACAATTCGAGAAGGATGTTGTTAAACTGAAGAGGGTTCAGAGAAGAGCCATCAGAATGATGAAAAGATGGGAAAACGAGCCTAATAGTGATGGAGCCGAAGAGCTCCATCTATTTAGCTGAACAAAAAGGTGATTTTTATTGTAGTCTGTAAATACCTACATGGGAACAAATATTTGAAAATGGGTTCTTCAGTCTAGCAGATAAAGGTCTAACATGATGTAATGGCTGAAAGTTGAGGCTAGACAAATTCAGATTGGAAATAAAGTGTATGGTTTTAACAGTAAGAGTAATTAACCAATGGAATAATTTACCAAGAGTTGTGGTGGATTCTTCATCCCTGGCAATTTTTAACTCAAGATTGTTTATGCTCCTGGAATTATTTTGGGGGAAGTTCTATGACTAGATGATCAGAACGATCCCTTCTGGCCTTGGAATCTGTGAATCTAGTGTAGACTTGGACTTAGGCATTTCAACAAGTGACCTGGTTTTCAAAAGTGCTGAGCACACAGCAGCTCCTACTGGAATCAAAAGTAGCTAATGGGAAACTGGTGCTTTGAAAAATGGAGGTGTGGATTGAGGATCCTAGTATTAGGCTCCTGTTTTTCAAAGTTTCAACCTTTGACCGTATTTAGTATTCAGTATTTTCTGTAAATTAAAAAGTGTGAGGGCAAAACTTAAATATCTGCATGAGTGTCCAATGTTCTTGAAGCTACAGGTGAAAAATGTGTTTTAGCATAACAAAAACTTTGAAAGATGCTTAGATATTGAAATAGCTTGTCCATGGTTCCTAAATAAACAGGAAACTGAAACATCTGTTAAGATACAACTGAAAGTTAATTGATCTTTACCAAAGGCATAAAGGGCCTCATCCAAAGCCTACTGACTTCAATAAAAATCTTTCTTTTGACTTTAATGAGCTTTGCATTGAATTCAGACTGATTTATTAATTGGTACTCTAGGATAGCACAAGTTTTGCGTGCTGTCATGCATATTCTGCTGAGTGGTGGTAAAGTGTTAGGAACAGATACTTAACCTTAGGAAACAAAGTAGACTGAATCCTATTGTTCCCATAAAAGTTCGTTTTTATAATAAGCCTTCATAGATTGCCTACTTTTTCTCAAGGATCAGTGGAGTAATAAAACTTTTCCGTGTTCCAGATAATAAATATTGTAATTTATATGTGTTACCGTAGTGCTTAGGAGCCCCAGACATGGACCAGGACTCCACTGTGTTAAGTGCTGAGCAAATACAGTAACTCCTCACTTAAAGTTGTCCTAGCTAACGATGTTACAGTTGCTGATCAATTAGAGAACATGCTCATTTAAAGTTGTGCAATGCTTCCTTATAATGTTGTTTGGCAGCCACCTGCTT